ACCGAATTGGTCCCCAAGACATCACTGACACCCATACTATCACCGCATATGCCGTCCAAATACTATGCCGTCCGGAGGGGCCGAGCGCCGGGAGTTTACAACTCGTGGTATGGCTTATGATCCCATCTCTGGTCACAATTAGCTCTCTCTCTCTCTCTCTCTCCAAGTCTTAAGCCCATTATCAGTGACTATAACCACATATATTCCTCCACTTTAGGGACGAATGCAAGTCTCAAGTCGACGGTTACTCCGGCGCTCAGTTCAAGAGTTTTCGCACCGCCGCTGAGGCCAAGGAGTTTGTGGACACGCCTGTCGTCAGCACCGGCAGGGGCTGTCCGTACGGCTCCAGTCGTCGCCCTAATCCCCTATCAAAGAATAGATCCGATTATCGGACTATCAATGGTATCAATACTGCTGGAAGTGTCGGATCTATTGCTAGTGATAATAGTGCGGACTCTAAGGACCGGTTTGTGATCTATACGGACGGCGCCTGTACTAAGAATGGCCGCCGCGGCGCCCGGGGAGGTATAGGCGCCCACTTCCCCGCCCGTCCCGACCGGGACATCAGTGAACCCCTGGAGGGCCGGCAGACCAACAACAGGGCCGAGATATGGGCCGCCGTTCGGGCCCTCGAAGCGGCCAAAGCCATGGGTGAGCTCCGGGTGGACATCAAAACGGACAGTAAGTTCATGATGCAGGCCGTGAACGAGTGGTCCCCTAAGTGGCGCAGGAATGGCTGGAAAACGTCTACCGGTGCCGATGTCATCAATAAGGAGGACTTCTTGGAGTTGGAACGGGTGTCGCAGGGAATGGATGTCCAATGGGTTTGTCGTATTCAGTGGTTTGTAATCGTGTTTTATATGTGTTTTGTGTTTCAGACCAAAGTTAGGGCGCATTCAGGTGTGGCCGGTAATGAGAGGGCCGACCAGTTGGCGGTTATGGGCAGCAAAGGTGTGGTGACTCCACAGGTGACCCTGCCTACTGTCCCCATAGGTTTGCCTACTCTACCCAAAGTTCCTGTGATAACCATTGAGTGAAATAGTTGTTAATAGTTTTACTAGAAATTCATTTTTTCCATTCATTTTGTTATTAGGATTACATTTAATTAAATCATTTGTTTGTTATTTATCATAATTCAAACACTTTAGTGTGTTATCAATTGTAGTTTCAATTATGTCCAATAAATTGTTTTCTATTTAAACACAAGTTTCACTATAAATCCATTTTATCATTAATTTTTGTTATTACCGTAGGATTAGAATTCATTATTAGGTCATTAACTATTACCGGTAATTGTTATTTTTCATAATTATGGTAAAGTACACACATTTTTACCGGTTATGAGATTTACATTAGTTTTGTGCACTTATTCTCGTAAAGAAATACATATGGAATGACTGGTTGAAGGGAACACCACCTGAAACGGACAGTTAATCTGTCGTTAATTCACGGGCACTTCGGGTGCACCGCTAGTATTCGCGTGACTCTTGGCGTGACTCACGAGAGTCTGGCGCCGACTGAAGGCCCGGTCGCAACCCTCGACATCGCACCGGTAGGTCCG